TTTTTTTTTATTTTTTTTAGGGCAGTCCAAATATTTTCACAGGGGGTTGAGGTCACAACTTTGAAAATGACATTCTTAGCAGCTTAATTTTGGCTCGATGTAGCATTTCAACACCACTGTTAGAACACTCAGTTGCATCCAAGATTTAACTTTCTAGCTCATGGTTTGATGTTGTCCTCAAGATCATCTTTCATTCTTATTAATCCATCCACTTTATGCAATGCACCAGTTCTACTGGCTGATTCTGCCATCACCATGGTTGATCATTCTCCTTTTCCCCAGTAAATATCTCTTGTTATTCTGTCGAAATAACTCTACTTTTTGCTTCCCCTGGCCATAAATCTCTCCTCCATTATTATTAATGTCCCTTTCAGGAGTATGTAAACGTTTGATTGCGGCTGTATCTGTGTACTTTACACAGCTCAGCTCTCTGACTCTTATAGTGTAGTGGTGATGACAGTATATTCTAATCACCTGTAAAAGGACTCTGATGCTTATGTCATATCTCATTGCTGAAGGTAATTATAGTCAGATTTGTTGTTAAACCCAGGTAAAATTTACCTTTTATAAAAGCACCTTTACATTTGTGGTGTTGCCAGGCTACCCTGTGATGATCAAAGCATCTGCAGGAGGAGGAGGGAAAGGAATGAGGATTGCTTGGAATGATGAGGAAACAAGGTATTGTATTCCTCTGTTTAAATAACACCCTCAGTGTATGTTATCTCATCTACTCATTTGTAACATCTGTATTAATGAAATTTATGTACAACAGTCATACATCAGCTTTATTTATTGTACTGGACCTTAGGTACCACTGCAGAACCTTCTATTGCAGTTAGAATATAGTTAGTACTCCAGGCAGTTTAATTCAAAAATAAGCTGTAGAAGTGCCTTAAATAAAGAGGAGTACCAATTTGAGAAGGACATTTTAGGAAAGCAAGAACTTTCTGGATGTTCCTCACTTTCTAACACACCTTCAAAAGGTTGTTTGAGTGTTAGTTTAGTTTATTTAGTTTCTTTTATTTTTTCCAAGCATGTAAAGATAAAATAGCATTACAGAAATAAAGTTGTGAGAAAAGAAAAAAAAACAAAACAAAAGAAAAAATAGTGCATATACAATACAGAAAAAGAACTAGTAACAATATAAAAACAAAATAGTACACAATTCAATCATATCACATTCATCAAGTACATTACAGACACTACCACCATGACATGCTTGAAAGGGAGTAGAAAGAAGTACACACTTATCTAGTTCTACCCCCTTTCTTAGACCATGGTATAGTTATGCCAGTGTTAAGACTTGGGTTTAGGTTAGAATTAATTTTAGATGGGCTTGGGCATTTAGTTGTGATGGCTATGGTAAGGGGCTATGGAATGCATCATGTCATTGAGTGTCCCCACAAAGAATGAAAATAAGGTGTGTGGGTGTGTGTATACTGTTACAGAGAAGGTTTCCGCCTCTCATCTCAGGAGGCAGCGTCCAGCTTTGGAGATGACAGGCTGCTCATTGAGAAGTACATAGACAACCCCAGACACATAGAGATACAGGTATGGGACATAGGCACACAGTTATCTGATGTCGTATAATATTGACAGCATGCACACACACAATTTGACAGCGCCCTTGGCATCCCCGTTTTACACACATATATGCCATTTTTAGCCAAGTTTATTATGTAAACGTTTACTGAAGAAGCTGAAAAGATTTATAGGATACCATATACCTAGCACTACAAAGGTGCTGCTGTGGAGTAGGGTGGAGAGAGCAAGAGTTGAACAAGAATGAGCTTAAATAGGCTCAGCCCCACAAGCAACCGCAGGTGCTGGTCAATCATGTGATCAAGTGTTTGCCAATCAGCTGATCCAGCTGGATCTGTAAAGAGAAAACACCAAAATTAAACAAGATATTACACTTCCCCTCATATAGATGACACCCAGAAGGTGACATTATTTGTAAGCCTTCGACAGTGTACTCGTATAACATTTTCCTGGCCATGCCATAGCAAATGTCCAAATTGTAGTTGTTGTTACTGCTGGGCCACTGCATCCACCTCTGATTGCTGTAATACATGCAAAACAATAGGCTGCAAAGAGGAATTTCAAAGCACCACAGCTCCCAAAGCTGCTTTTTCAGAACTGCTGTAGTTCCTCTGGGGCGACAGTGGTGCGGTGGGTAGAGCAATCGTCTCACAACCAGAAGGTTGAAGGTTTGAATCTCTGCCTGTAGCCCACATGTTGAAGTGTCCTTTGGCAAGACACTGACCAAAACAGTAAAGTGGTAAATGGTCTTATACTTGTATAGTGCTTTTTTATGCATTTCTTTCACACTATTTGGCCATTCACACATTCACACACCGGTGTCATCACCAGGAGCAACTTGGGGGTTCGGTGTTGTTAGGGTTATTTTATCATAAACAAACGGACTGAGTAGACCGAGGCCAATTTTCTTTATATAAGCATTTTAATACTTGCAGCAAGGGAGCATTCAATACATACAGTTCAATTGCATGAAAACAATGCTCAGAGAGACGATCTCAGCTGAGCCTATTTATACAGTGAAGTTGGTACTGTGGCAGTTCAAGAATTCAATCCCTGTCATCAGTCTCTGTCTACCATACAGAGCCGGGTGCCCTCACAAACCTTTCTGCATACTCATGGTCTGGTATTTGTGAGAACTATGTGGATCAGCTCAAGTATGAAAACATCATCTGCTCTAAACCAAAACACCTGCACGTACAAATGTATAACATCTTCTTGAGCATTCGAACAAGCCATAACAAAGCATTTTCCCAACAGGTGGAGGAGGCGAGGCCATAAGCAATATTTGTGCTCTCCTTCTTCTTGATATTCTTCTTATTATTTCTTTATTTCGATTGCACATTAACTGGTACATCGCTACGCACATGCTATCACAAGCCACATCCATTTTTATTTTCGCAAACACAGTACGCTGCGTCTGACGTCACGTCCTCTTCTGCGCATGCAGGTCACCTCAGGGCCGTATACCGTTCACACGAGACAGATGGCAGTCGCATTTAAATGACAGTGTGAACAACAGCACAAAAAAATCGGATTTCGGCAAAAAATCCGATCTGAGCATTAAGACCTGCAGTGTGAACGTAGTCTTAGACATGTGGACTGGACAAGCCAAGAATTGAATGCTAATCTTCTGGTTAGGAGATGACCGCTCTACCTCCTGAGCCACAGCCGCCCCCAAGTGGTTTTTAGCTTTAGTTTTTATTTTTAATGACCATAATTTTGGTAAATATGGATGTGGTCTATATATTAGTGGACAGTGGGAATTGGGGCATCTGGTTTTAATGATTACACTTGATTGGATGGATCATTATGAAGACTTCACTACTGTGACAAAAAAGTAAAAAGATTTTAAAAAGTCATAGAATTCCTATTACCTCACCTTCTTCAGGGGAAAAATGATTACTGTGTGCTTCTTATAGGTGCTGGCTGATAAACATGGTAATGCTCTGTGGCTGAATGAGAGGGAGTGCTCGATCCAAAGGAGGAACCAGAAGGTGGTGGAAGAGGCTCCCAGGTTATTGAGAGATTGCCCAGTTAATATGCTTTTATTTGTTCTACAGTGTCTAATATATGGTTGGGTAATTCAAATTGACATATGAAAATGTATTGCAGGTTTGTCATGTGTAATTTGTTAGCTTCTGTCTTTTATCATCTTTTATCTCACCAGCATTCCTCAGTATGTGATGATTAGTTTTGAACAAGTCTGTTGTATGTATTTTTTAAAAAGATGAAAAAAGGCGTGTTGGGGTCTTTTTTGTTTGTTTTTTTTATTTTCAAGGTTTGCTTCTTTTAGGCACCATATGAACATCTGAGATGAGTCTGAGTGTCCAATATTGTCCTCTCCAGTACTTTCCTGGACATAGTGACACGGCAGGCAATGGGTGATCAGGCAGTTCAGTTAGCCAAGGCTGTGCAGTACTCTTCTGCTGGCACTGTGGAGTTCCTGGTGGATTCCAAGAAGAACTTCTACTTCCTGGAGATGAACACACGATTACAGGTCAGTGTAATTCACTTCAGTTTAATTTGTATATTGCCAATACACAACAAAAATCATCTCAAGGCACTTTACGTAGAGGAACAACCCAACAAGTCCTCCTTGAGCACTGGAGCCAACAAGTCTGTCTGATGGTAGCATCAGTGCCACTAGTATGAAGTGTTCATCTGGAGCCCGGTATTGGCTTCTCGACTTGCCCTGATAATATCATCATCCAGTTTTACTAAGGCTGTTTCCGCACTGTAACAAGCATTGAAATCAGACTGCAACTTGTTTGAAAACTTTTATGTGTGTACCAGTTTCTCTGAAATTTTGCTTACAAATGGAAAGTTTACCAAAGAAATAAAAATAGCAGGAACTTATTACTTATGTACTGTTTTACAATTATGAGATTCTGATCTTGTAATTATGGGGTTTTCTTGTAAATATGACATACAATCATCATTTTGAGATGTGGATTTCCTAATTATGAGCTCTTTTCACCTAATTATGAGATAATACCAGGATTACAATACTTCAGAACTTCCCTGAAAGTCATTATGTTTTAAAGAATTTTGTATTTAAGTAATACATTGATAGTTGTCATAGTGCACAGCAAAAATGAGCTGTTAATAACTGATTTGGCGTACTTGGTGTTCCAAAACGTAAAGTGGAACCTAAGCTGCATCCTACAGTGTAACTAAAAATACACATGTACTGAGCAGGATTTGGAGTTTAACTAAGCAATTTTAACCATCTCCGTGACAACTGAGCAAACTCCACCTGCTGATAAAGACCCCAAGATGCAGCTGAAATACTTGGAATTGGCCAGTAAGGATTCCTTGAGTTTCATACCTCACAACAAGCACAGAAACTTGTATCTTCTCTGTTTAACATCTGGCCCCAGGTGGAACATCCAATTACAGAGTGCATTACTGGCCTGGACCTGGTGGAGCAGATGATCAGGGTTGCCAAGGGTTACCAACTGCAGCACAAACAGGAAGATATACCAATAAATGGATGGGCTATTGAGAGCCGTGTCTACGCTGAGGTTTGTGTGTGCCACTCATTGTGGTATGTGGGTTTATTTGTAACAAATCAATGTCTGGCTCTGTTTGACTATATTTAAACTATCTGGCTAACATCTATCAGTGTATTAGATTTAGTTATTGCCTTTAAAGAACTCATTTTGATGTTAAGGACTACATAGAGCTACATGGATTAGGTTTTCCCCAGTATAAATAGTGAGCAAGATTGAGGTAGTAAAGAAAAACCAGCAGTAGCTGGAAATGTTCTGATCACAGAAACTGCTGCTGATGCATTCAAAAGCTATACACAGTGATCGAGCCAAGCACAAGACATAAAAAGCCTGTTGAAAAGATGAAAGGTTGAGCTAAGCATGCCCAAAACCAGCCATGTAAAGAGGCATTTATCTGCTTTGTTTACAAGGATATGGACAGTGACTACTGGATACTAGTAAATCACTGGGATCTTTTTTTTTTTTTAAATAGACACTACATGCTACAACCTTATTTTATAATATAATATAAAGTTGGTCAGCAGCAGGAAGCATGAAGTGCTCTAAAACTTCCTGGTATACAGCTGCATTGACCTTGGACCTCAGAAAACACAGTGGCCCAACACCAGCAGATGACATGGCACCCCAAACCATCACTGACTGTGGAAACTTTACACTGGACCTCAAGCAACGTGGATTCTGTGCCTCTCCTCTCTTCCTCCAGACTCTGGGACCCTGATTTCCAAAGGAAATGCAAAATTTACTTTCATCAGAGAACATGACTTTGGACCACTCAGCAGCAGTCCAGTCCTTTTTGTCTTTAGCCCAGGCGAGACGCTTCTGACGCTGTCTGTTGTTCAAGAGTGGCTTGACACAAGGAATGCGACAGCTGAAACCCATGTCTTTCATACGTCTGTGCGTAGTGGTTCTGGAAGCACTGACTCCAGCTGCAGTCCACTCTTTGTGAATCTCCCCCACATTTTTGAATCGGTTTTGTTTCACAATCCTCTCCAGGGTGCGGTTATCCCTTTTGCTTGTACACTTTTTTCTACCACATCTTTTCCTTCCCTTCGCCTCTCTATTAATGTGCTTGCACGCAGGGCTCTGGGAACAGCTAGCCTCTTCTGCAATGACCTTTTGTGTCTTGCCCTCCTTGTGCAAGGTGTCAATGGTTATTCTAATTTTCTGAGATACCGAATTTGGGGTTTTCATTAGTTGTCAGTTATAATCATCACAATTAAAAGAAATAAACATTTGAAATATATCAGTCTGTGTGTAGTGAATGAATATAATATACAAGTTTCACTTTTTGAATGGAATTAGTGAAATAACTCAACTTTTTGATGATATTCTAATTATATGACCAGCACCTGTATATGCATTTGGATATAACCATGAGGTAGGATAAAATTATGGTATTTTTATTTTACACATTTAAACCTCTGTTGCAGTAGCCTAAGCAGAATGTTACAAATGAAGCCTAAAGTTTCACTGTTTTCCTTTTCTCTGCCCTTTGTTCTGTTAGGATCCTTACAAGTCTTTTGGTCTTCCCTCTATTGGACGACTGTCCCAATACCAAGAGCCACTCAACCTCACAAATGTAAGTTTTTGTGTGTGCTACCAAAGTCTTAAAGCTTCATTACACTTGATGTTTGTAGCATGCAACCAGCTCATCAGTCTACATAACAAATTAGAGCTGCAAGAAATAAAAGCATTCAGTCCTCTGACTGCAATTTATTTCAGATGATAATCTACTCAAAAGCAATGTAATCAGTCATCCTTGGTAATGTTGCTAGCAGATGTCCTGCCAATATGAACATGTTGTCTTTTCCTCACTCTTTCAGGTCCGTGTAGACACTGGCATCCAGGAGGGCAGTGAAATCAGCATCTACTATGATCCCATGATCTCCAAGGTTGATATGTTAAATATAAAATGGCTTTGTAAATAGTGTGTTTATATATTTTAGGAACACATTTTCACAACAAGAAAGTATACTACAAAAAGCCACCATTTCACAAATATTTGTGGTTCTGTAATAATTTCCTGTGGTATGCATTTGTAGTTGATTACCTATGGAGCTACACGAGCTGAAGCCCTTGCCAGGATGGAGGATGCTCTAGATCACTATGTTATCAGAGGTACACCAACAGATTTTCACAGTGAACAATCACTTCTTAAATGAGCATTAGGGGTGGCTGTGGCTCAGGAGGTAGAGCGGGTTATCTCCTAACAGGAGGGTTGGTGGCTTGAATCCAGGCTTCTCCAGTTCACATGTCGAAGTGTCTCGAGCAAGCCGCTGAACCCCAAGTTGTTCCTGGTGGCTGCGCCATCCGTGTGTGAGTGTGCAAATGCTTGTGTGCACGAATGGCTGAATGGAAAATAGTGTAAAAGTGAGTGTGTGTCACTGCATAGAAAAGCACTATACAAGTATAAGACCATTTACCATTAGCTTTTATTCTTCATGTAATGAAGTTAGGTAATCTTTCCTCTAGGTGTGACCCACAACATCCCCCTCCTACGGGAAATCATCACCCACCCTCGCTTCATTTCTGGTGACATCAGCACCAACTTTCTGCCAGAGATTTACCCTGATGGATTCAAGGGCCACCAGCTGGAGGTGGACGAGCGCATGGAGCTGTTAGCCTCAGCAGGAGCGCTCTACATCACTGCTCAACTCCGTTCGCAGAAGGTCTTGGACAACCTGAGGTGAGGTTGAGGTACTGTCATATAACTGTTTTCAGATTTGAGAATGTTGTCATGGTCACCACCACACTTTGACTCTCTGGTTGTTTTGTCTGTTCCCAAACTTTTTCAATTCAAGACTGTAAAGAGAAATTTGGTCTCTCTCCAGGATGTAAACTTAAAAAAAAAATCCATTATGACTTACTAAAGTGTCTGCATTTTTAAACTACCAATAATAAACACAACAAACCCTGAATTTAAAATGCAGTTTATAAAATATTTATTAAATTATAAAAGTACATCAAAGTAATAATTTAATTGCTGAGAGTAATGTTAAATTTCCCACCACCTCATAATGAACTTGGATGAAACATCATTCAGGCTGTCTGATGACAGCATCAAGTATAATGTTTTATTCATTAAATTTAGAATGAACAGTCCAGCCTTAAAACAAGCAGTTACGTGTGGTGTATGATGCAACATACTTGCCATTCTTTTACTTTTGAAGAGTAGTCTGACCTGATCATAAGCATTCAACCTGCACAGAGCTCTAATTTACTTCAGTCAGACAGTAACATTCAATAGTGCACCTGTTACTGGAGCTGTGCTGGTTCCCTCTCCATCCTCTATCCTTTCTTTTTCTGTATGTTTATATGGTACAGTCAGTATTTAAGACGTTTTTAGTGCTGGGCTGCCTGTCGTTTATTAGACTATAGCAAAAAGAATTAATGAGTATTCTAGAATATGCTGAGAGAAATTAGCAGCCCATTCTCATTATTTATAAATGGAGAGGACAGATTTCTATGTTTGGCCAATTTACAGTTGAACACAGTCAAATTTCTTTGCAAAGATTTGGCATTAACTTTAACATCCTGATTTCTTCAATAGTTTGTGCACTCAGTAGCCACTTAGCTAGGAGTCAAGCAGATCTATAATGATCGAACTTAGAACAAACTGTCAGCAACACAGCAGCTGCTCCCTGTTCAATCCTGATGCTCTGGCCAGTTGAGTGGGGGCCAGGGTGGGGGTATCTATTGCACAGTGCAGTTTGAGGGTGTTCTTTTGAACCATGATACCTGAGTGAACCGTGGTTCTCCTAAAATTAGACAGTAAATATTTTATTACATTCTCAAAACCTGTAATTGTGTGGATGCTTCAGCATCCACACTATTGTTATCCTGTTCTTTATTGTATGGATGCTGATTCAGCATCCATACTATGTTATCCATCCTGTTTATTGTGTGGATGCTTCAGCGAGGATAACCTACAAGAAACCAAAAGTTAGTCTGATAGGTGACTGAAATCTAAACAGTCAGCTTCTACAGTTCTCAAACCGTTTAATCTTCTAATACTTAACATTCTCAAAACCAAGCAACTCTAAACAGAACAAATCTGAAAGGGACAACATGCGTTCTAATGATCAGAACTTGCTAGTTTCAATATAACCTTTCCTACGCAATAAACCTAACAACTAAATACTTCAACTTAACAATTAAGTACTAATTTGGTTAAAATTGGACTAACTTATGAATAGAATTAAAACAAACCATGATCTTAGGAGGAACTAACCCGACAATAACACCGATAAACTAAGGAATAACAAGATTAAAATACAATTTTCATCAGCAGACTAAATCACCTTCAACAAGCAAAAATACCTACCTTGTTCATGACAACAGGCCGCGGGGTGGCTGTGGCTTATAAGGTAGGGCAGTCGTCTTCTGACACTGAACCCCAAATTGCTCCCGGTGGTTCGACTGGCACTGTTGTGTGGCAGCCTCTCGTCATCGTGTGTGTGTGAATGGTGTATGATCTCCTGTAAAGCGCCTTAGCCAGTGTGACACACTGTAGAAAATATGTGCTATATAAATACAGTCCATTTACCAAAAATAATCTACAATCTGAGGAATAATAATGCCAAAATCACAAACTTTTGAGGCAACCTAAACTAAATAAAGGGGAAGAAACTGTCCTTGTGCCTGGTTGTCTTGGTGCACAGTGACCTGTAATGCCATCCAGAGGGGAGGAGTTCAAACAGATTGTGTCCAAGGTGTGAGGGGTCAGCAGTGAGAGGTCTGAAGTTTCACGTCTGAGCGATATTAAAAACTGCGTTTCGCCTTTAAATGACAAACCATTTAAAATAATTACTACATTAGATTTCACCTGAAGTAACCTGCTGCATCATGTGTGAAATGTTATCCTGATGGACCGCCTGTGTTAAACAGCAGGATTTGTTTTGTTGCAGTCTTTTTAAAGTCTCAACATGTCTGAATACTTTTGACCTGTGAGGTGTACAGGTCCTCCATGGAGGGCAGGCTTGCACCAATGACCTTTTCTGCAATCCTGACTATCCGCTGAAGTCTGTACTATTCAGAGGTTTTCTAAACTTCATACTTTTGAAATATTTTGCTTTATTTTGAAAGTTTTGCCCCATTCAAATAAATGGAAAAATTCTATACTCAGCATACCTTCAGGTATCAAACTTTTCAGCTCCTCCAGGACATTCATGCTTCTATGCAGAATTTTTCTAAACTTCATACTTTTAAAATAAAGCTAAATATTTTAAAAGTTTTTCCCCATTCAAATGAATGGGGAAATTCTACAATCAGCATACTTTCAGGTATCAAAATGTTCAACTCTTCAAAGACATTCATGCTTCTCTATTTTTTCTAAATTTCATACTTTTAAAATATTTAGCTTTATTTTGAAAATCTTTTCACATTCAAATGAATGGGAAAAGTCTACTTCAACATACTTTTAGCTATCAAAATGTTCAGCTCCTCAAGGACATTCATGCTTCTATGCAGAATTTTTCTAAACTTTATACATTTTAAATATATAGCCTTATTTTGAAAATCTTGCCCCATTCAATTGAATGGGAAAATTCTACTTCAGCATACTTTCAGCTATTTCAAGTAGCAAAATGTTCAGCTTTTCAAGGACATTCATGCTTCTATTCAGACGTTTTCTAAACTTCATACTTTTGAAATATTTAGCTTTATTTTGAAAATCTTGCTCATTTCAAATGTGTGGGAAAATTCTAATTCAGCATACTTTCAGATATTAAAATGGTCAGCTCTTCAAGGACTTTCATGCTTCTCTTTAGATTTTTTCTATACTTCATACTCTTGAAATATTTAGCTTTATTTTGAAAATCTTGCCCCATTCAAATGAATGGGAAAATTCTACTTCAGCATACTTTCAGCTCGGCATCCATCTGTCTGTTTTTTGGCACTTTATAACTCCAGCATACTTTCAGCTATAAAGGTCATCAAATTGTTCAGCTTTAAAAGTACATGGGTGCTTGTATTTATCTTTTTTGTAACATTTATACTTTTTAAAATAATCATTTTTTCAGCAAATTTTGCCCCATACAAATGAATGGGAAACATTTTTACTTAATTTCTGTTGTCCATAAAATGCAGTGCAATTGAGACATGGCACTTAACTCCTCTCTCTCTTTCTCTCTCTCACACACACCTACTTGTTTTACCTACTTTGTGGGGACCAATTAGAATTTTTTCACTTCTTAATAAGTTAAGCATACTTTCAGCTAGAAAAGCCATTCAGGTATCAAAATGTTCAGCTCTTCAGACAGTCCTACTTGTATTTATTACATCTCATCCTTCAGATTATTCAACCCAGAACTTCAGCCATTTCTTCTCAACTATTTCAACAAAAGAACTTCAGCCATTTCTTCACATTCTTCAGCTGTTTCAGCAATTGATTTCAGGCATTTTCAAGGCGATCCTTCAGCCTGTCAGCATCCACATGCATTTTTGGCAGGAAATGCATTTCTCTAATGATTTTTGTGAGCATTACCTACATTTGCTGGAAGACGGTAATTTGTAAAATGATTACCTTTTGTAAAGGTGATCAGTACACACAGAAAGAGGGTCACCTGACCTGTAGCCTTTGGTGGGGATTCAGTGTGGTGAAGTTGTTCTGAACTGTACTATACACTCTAACTGAGCAGAGGGCCAGCTAAATGTGCCCAGAGCAGCTATTAGCGGTTACTGCAGCATGTAAATAGGTTCCATCAACTACCAAAACCTACCTACCTTATTTGATGCCTGCTCTCACTTCACAAATGTTATCAAGTCAATGTCAAGATAAGCCTGCTCCTTCATTCTCATGCAGCAAGAACCACTGGCATTTTGGGAGGCAGGCTACTTCACTGTGAAACACTTCCAGGGGACCTATTTGTAGTAAAAAGAAAAATGTCTGATTCTGTGATCATTTGTAAACATATTTGATACATTTGAAAGTAGAAATCATATTTATACTATTTACTGGCACCATATTAGCACAAATATGATGCTGATAAATCAATTTCATAAACATTAAGCTCAGATAAACTGATTTTACATAAACTAGTACTTGCCTGCTGTTTCAGCAGTAGTATAGTGACTTACCTGTAACTGACTCCGTTTTACTGTGGAGGGATGACATTTTTTTTTTTTTCTGTCTTAGCTTGTGTTGCTCATCATGTATGTTGTTCTAGAAAAAGAAGCCTAATGTTTTTGGTTTCTAATACAAAATGGGCTGTGTGTGTTGCAGGGTGTCAACGACCCCTACGGAATGCAGCCATTGGGAGTTGTGTGTGGAGATGGGGGAGGGACGCCATACTTTGGAGATTACCAAATCAGGAAATGTTTATACTGTGAGTATTTAATGTGCATTCATGAACAAATTACATATGTTAGTATCTGTGACTGACAGTGATCCTGAAACATTAGGCTGTACTCGTACAGTAACAGCTGTGACACTGATAAGTGTGATGTGATCTTCTACTCACAAGTGTAGATAATACTACTAATAAACATATAATTACTGTCGCCAAGGGCACAGGTTATGTTTTTGCCAGCATGTGTATATTTGTTTAACAGCATACCTCAAAAAGTAATAAATGGATTTTGATTACATTTTTTGGAGAAACAAACAGAGTTGTCCTTGATAGAGGTTGCTGTGAGTGCTGTCTAGTCTTTGTTTTGCAGTTGCACATATTGTTCAGTCCTTGAGTGTCAGTGAGTTTGTACCAATTTTTCTGCACATGCTGTGGTCATAGCTGGCTACTTTCAGGAAGAGTGCAGTACTTGACTCATCTCCATTTATAGACAGTTTGTCTAACTGGGGAGTGATTAGCATCTAAACTCTGAGATTTTGACTTTATGCACATCAGCAGTTCCTGATCATAAGTCTTTTGAGATCTTGTTTTTGATAGGCTCGGTTCATATAGCCAGAAGCTTCTTAAGAACAAGGGTCTTTATAATATAAAGTGACACCTCCAATATTGTTTCACTGATTTGACTACAGGTTTGCTAACACTTGACTCCACTTAGCTTTGTCAAAGTCAATAGCATGTAGGTTCACATACTTTTTTCCAGCCTACATGGTGAATTTCTTAACATTCATTATGGAACAGGGCAATACAATGATGTGTTATTAGTTCAAATTGATTTGTTTGTTCATAATTATGACTTAAATGAAGAACAGATCATATTTTAAGACAAACATGCATAAATGATTATAATTCCAAGGAGTTCACTTACCTGTTCTTGCCATTGCAAATAAACAGTTGCCTAAATCCCAAACTAACATTTCAGATGATAAAATGGAGCTCAGTGAGCAGGAAAAGATTTAACTACAGTCCCTGTGTAAACTGAAAATATGATATCATTCTGTCTCGATCATGACTCTGTCATCAGGACACACAAGAACAGAATGATCTATATTTACCTCTGTAGGTAGAGGTGGATGGAGTAAAGGTGGAGGTCAGTGGACAGTGGAACCTGGCCTCCCCACTACTGCCACTCGTCATCAACGGCACAAAGAGAATGCTACAGGTAACACATGCCCAGGTTGACACTGTTAAATTTCATACTTCACAATAAGCACACAGCTGTAAAATGTGATAAATATGCAAAATCATCAGCTTACAAAGGTTGGTTGTTGAGACTACAGATGTCTTTTGTTTTAGTGTCTGTCCAGAGATGCTTCAGGAAGGATTGTCCTACAGTACCTAGGCACATCGGTAAGGTTGCATGACTACAAAATTGTAATAACGTAACATATCACACAGGTTTCCATCTGTACTCCACATGCCAGCTAACTAGGCTATTGTGCAGAGCGGAGTGTTAGCTGCCACCCCCCATTCACACAGTTAGTGGCATCAAAAAGGTCATTGAATTAGAGAAGTTCACAAGGTTAAACAGCAAGGAAGAGAATTAGCAAGGACTGTATAATTTAACGGCTATCATGACTACTGTATTAAGAAAAGGTTGCTTGTTGTTTAAAAGTGTCATTTAATTCCATAAATTACTTGGTTTGTAAGCTGATTTGAGAGGTGACTATAAAGTGGTGGCAAGCTATCATTTTTAGTTCATAGAAGGATCAATCAATCATCCTGTGATTGAACTATGTCAAATTTTGATTTGATTAATGCAGCCTGGAACATGAACTGATGCAGACTCAGCTGACATCACTTGAGGCAATATCAGATTTTGTTTTAGATGTTGTGTAGAAATTTTTTTTTTTTTTTGCATATGCAATACTGCCTGTAAATAGATTTTACTGTGTGAGATGCCTTTAAAATAAATTCCTGTTTAAGTAGTGATTGTGCTCTTTATTTTATCAGAAACACTTTCCTCATGTTCACATGGCAGCACAGGACCCCTTGTTCACAAGTTTGTCATACTATGTATTTTTATGTAGTTTAAGGTTCGTGTTCTGTCCAAGCTGGCTGCAGAGTTGAACTCCTACATGCCAGAGAAAGTTCCCGAAGACACCAGCAGCATCCTGCGTTCACCAATGCCAGGCACAGTGGTGGCTGTGTCCATCAAGCCTGGAGACACGGTAACACATCCCAGTAGAGGTTTACAGTATACAGTACCTTCACTGCCTGGCTTCTTTAGGTAGGAAGTGAATAACATGATTATCAGAAGCCAGGGCCCTTCTCCCTGTGCCTGCGTGGGTTCTCTCCGGGTCCTACTTCCTACTCCACCTTCCTCCCACAGCCCAAAGACATGCCGCTTAGGTTGACTGGTGACTCTAAATTGCCCATAGGAGTGAGTGTAGATGTGCATCACACTGACAATTTGCATGTTAACATTTGGCACGGGTTTTACGTCGGATGCCCTTCCTGATGCAACCCTAACTCAAACCCAGGCCGCAGTGGCAAGAGTACTGCGCCCTAACCACAAGCCCAGGGGTGCCCAATATGTTGATCGCAAAGGTAGTGTCGGTAGATCACGTGCCATCCAAAAATAATTTAGATGTATCCGTTGTAAAACACGTGCCAAATGCTAACATGTGAATGGTCAGTGTGACGATTCGCTATGGCGACCCCTAACAGGAAAAGAAGAAAGTGCCAATCATTCATATATAGTCTATCATCCATCCTCCCTATGGCATTTGCTACTTGATTGACCTGCAGGGCAGCCAGTCTGAGATCTTGTCTTTTCTGACACACAAGTCACCAAACATGCACAGTCAACAGCACGAGCTACTGCAAAACTCCAGTGAGCGAACTAACTTGTCAGCCTTTGAATTAAAGGGTATAAAATGAGTGGGGGGGCCGAATCAAGTAAGGCACCGAAAACATTCCATGCAGAATGGGAGGACCTTTTTTTTCCACAACGTTATATTCGAAATGCGTTTGCTTGATCTACCAATCTACCACCACTATTCCGAAGAAGGGAAATGTTCATACATATATTTTGCGTGCGTGCGCGCGTAGTATTTTTAGTGTAGGTCGATCATTTTGACTTGGTCATTTGAAAAGTAGCTCGCAAGGTGAAAAAGTGCAGGCGCCCCTGCACTAGCCTATCAGGGAATCACATACATTGATAAAGATAGCAGTGACTCAGGAACAGTTGATACCATAGTCTGCCACTCTTCTGCAACTAACACCACCCTCAGGCTGTTGGTCACATTTGTTTTAAGCATGTCATCAGTACAATGAGCTGCAATGATGTGCTTAAAACAAATGTGACCAACAGCCTGAGGGTGATGTTAGTTGCAGAAGAGTGGCAGACTATGGTATCAACTGTTCCTGAGTCACTGCTATCTTTATCATCATCTTCACAATGTCCCATTTTTTCAGTTTTCCTGTGTTGAGACAAGCTGCAAACATTTTAAGGTGAACTCCAATGCTACTGCCCCATCATTTTTACACTCATGTGTGTGTGTGCATGGTTGTAGGTTGCAGAGGGTCAGGAGATCTGTGTGATTGAAGCCATGAAGATGCAAAACAGTCTGACTGCTGTCAAGCAAGCAAAGGTAACAACAGTTGAGCTACTGTTATCTTCTGTAACTCAGTTTGTTCATAGATTTAAAAGTGTGTTGCTGAGTCAGCAGTGTAAACAACTACCGTACACTTTATGGGGGTCTTTAACATTTTCATGCTCAACTGTGTATGTGTCTTCTGCCTTCCAGATTAAGAGTGTCCACTGCAAACCGGGGGAGACTGTAGGAGAGGGAGACCTGCTGGTAGAGCTTGAATAAAAAAAGATAATTAAAAAAAACCATATGGGACAAGCACCAAGATGAGCCTTACTCCTGTCCTCTCCTCGCTGTCCACAGATGATCCACATTGGCAGGCAGACTGCACAGTAACAGTTTTTTTTCCCCCATCAGTGGGAATTGAGCAAAGTTTAGTTCCCTTGATGGTGACTCAGCGATGAGCTATCAGCAGTGCCACATCCCACTCCATCTTGCTCCTCTTGTGATGTGTTCTGCTTGTTCTTTTGTTTTAAAGACCTGATTGTTAGTTTTTGTTCATCCACTAAACCAAATATTTTTCTTATTTTACCCCTGTGCTGTCTGGCCTTGAACATGGTTATGGTTTGTGGGCCAAGGCTTTGAGATACTGTATCTACATGGGTAATGTCTGCTGCCTCTCCAAACCAATGTACGGACATGGACCTTTGGTTTCTAGATTTCTGATGAGGCTATTCAAATGGCATTTTTCAGACATTTGATTTTCCAAAAGAAAATTCTGTTCACTTCTGTTGTGCTTGAGTGGAGGCAGACATTTCAAAACTTCACTGGAGAACACCAAAATGTCTGTATCTCATTGTATGCAGGAAAAGTGTCTGTAATTTGGTTGAACTGACACTAAGACACTACATAAAACCAATAAAATGCTTCATCTTTTCCACAGTAACTGACTAAACTGCTGTTAAAGCTACATTAAGTAACATTCTTTTTGTAGAAACATCCCCCAAAACATACCTTGTTTTGGCAAAGTTACACACTGGCTCAACATTAATTTTAAGTAACACATAGTCAGGAGTAATTAATGGTTTTTGAGCAGTCTCTCCTTGACAGAATGGTCCCTTTTCCAAGGATCAGTATCAACACTGCTCAGGCTGTAGCTCCTATTGTACTGTAGCTCTCTATACCTGTTTGTGGCTGATGCTTGTTTTGTAAAGAACAGCTTTCTCTATGCTCCTACAAGAAACTCATTGTGATGAAGACTCCTGGCAGAATCAGTGGGGAGATTTTTTTTAGCCACTGTTCTAATAGATCAGTGGGAGTTGCTGCTACTTTCAGCAGCATTTGTGGCACAGTTGTTACTGGTAAGTGTGATGATGTTGGTCATTTGTTAGAGACTGCTCTGAATATAGAGGATTAATCTTACCAAACATTTATTGCTAATAAAATGACTTTTTTTTTTTTCCAAAAAATTGACTTTTCTTTAAGGTTAAGTACCCAGATGAATTACTAATAACTGGCAGCAATTTTAACTTTACCACTAATGAATGATCTGACACATATCCTTCAGTATTCAGTCAACATGAATTGAATGCTGCTTTTAGCAAAACAAATGCACTAGATGTTCACAGAAAATGTTTGGAGAGAAACACACCCCAACCAGAAAAACCTTACATGGGTTAAACCAAATGTCAAGAACTAAATTCTGGATTATTACTTAAACCTAGTTTTTAATGTATATCATCTGCATCTGTCTCCTTTCATTTTTATCTACAACCAATAATAGGTTGAAAAAGCTGAAATATTATTGGAAATTCACCTCTGACTTCTAACATGATCATAAAAATATAACACTTTAAATGACTAAGAATTCAATTCAGTCTATTTGTATAGCGATAATTCACAGCGAGGGTTGGGGGGGGGGCATACGAGATAGGCTGGGGGACTGAAGGTAGTCTGAAGGGCAGAAGCTACGCTGAGGTAGCTAGGCTGCAGGTAACGTATCACCTTTAGTCCCACAAGGACTGTCTACTGTACAACTATATTAAGAAGCAAAAGCTAATTCAAACAGAATAAACTGGAGGCCAGGTTTTGAATCCAGACATGCAGGACTTGTAATTAACAGTTAAGAATGCACTTTAATGGCTTCAAAAGCAGCTTAAAATAAGGGGAGGGGGGGTTGCTTCTGTAAAAAAACAAAAAATACATACATGCCAAAATATTTAATTAGGTTAAATGTCCTCCACTACCTACAGATTGAAATGAGCATAACTGTGATGTATATTTTTTCCACAGTGGTTTGCAGGAGGTGAACATGTGATCTTCACAGTCTCTTCTCTCTAATTGCCTTCATCATCATCATCATCATCATCCAGCAAGAACTCAGTGATCTCCTCTTTCATCTGGGACCTGCACAACACAATATCAAAGTGCAGTAGTTCTAAATATGACAATACTGTGATATTTCTGTCCTAACTTTATCTGAGTCCATTATTTATTTTTATGTAGTCTCTCAAATTACTGTCTAATGGTAAATGATCTTATACTTGTATAGCGCTTTTCTGTGCTTTTACAGCACACTCAAAGCGCATTCACACTACATGGCCATTCACCCATTCGCACTCCCAAACACTCACACACCGGTGTTATCACCAGGAGCATC